TTTCCCTACTTTCTTTCCCTCTCTCTCTCTGGTGAGTGTGTGCCCTCCAGCAAAGTTTAAAATTAATAAGAGTAGTAAATACAATTTAAACAAATAAACCTTAAAAAAGGGCAAGTCTCTATTTCATGTTTCATATATTCCCAAAAACATGTGAGCAATGAACATGTAGTATTTGTAAAATCTTTATTCCTTGAGCAAAAAAAAAAGCTTCTTAGTTCTTATTATTCCTAATTCAAACTCCTCATCCATATACTTCCAATCCGTCCACACCCTTTAATTCTGTTCTTTTCATTCACAAGAATATACACACTACTGACCAAAATACAACAAATGCCTGAGTGGAGCTGAAGATTAGTCCTTTCTGGAAAGCCAAATAATTTCCCTGTGGCGTCAGCTGCGCTCCATTTAGGAGAACTATACTTAAAAGATACCAGTATGTTCTTTTCTCTGTGTTCTACGCACTTTACTGAAACCACAGTGAAAAGCAGTCAAGTACTCAAAACAGCGCGTTACTGCCAAGAGGAGGATGCCACGGAAGCTCAACATTAGCTGGCAGAAAACGGTAAGAGCCAACATGGACGGAAATAGGAAGTGGAATTTTGATGTAATATGAGAGCAGCTAGAGAGGAAATAGTTTCAGAGTCTTTTTTCTACCTCATATAAAGATGGTGTGCGGAAAAGATGCCACACCTCAGCAGACCTGTTCTTTTGTAGATCTTAGAAAGAAACTCTCTTTTCTTCGTTCTCCTGGAACTGCATTTGCTTTCCAGTTATATTGTTATTCTCTACAGGCCAGTGATTGGGATTCCTGTGGAGAGGGTCTCTGTTAGAGTTAGGATTACGTGTGGCTGCAAATACTTGGCAATCCAAGGAAGTGAGTGGAACAAAATAGCGTACTGCCTTCTCATGTAAACGATGTCTAGAAGCAAGAAATCCAGGCTGGGGTGGAGGCTACCAAATCACCCGATTGCAGTTACTCCTACCTTTGGGTCCACCAGCCGTAATCTGTAGTCTACCCTCACTTTCACCTCATGGGCCAATATGGCTACTAGAGCTCTAGCCATCACGAATGGATTCCAGACAGGAAGGAGGAAGCAGAAGAAAACCAAAAATACTCCCACCGGCTGCCTAGCCCACAAACAACTTCTACTGACATCTCCTCAGTCAGAATGCGGTACCATAACTACATCCAGTACGAGGGACGGATGTATAGTCTTTTAGCTAAGTGCATGCTCACAAACCCATAGCTTTATCATTAGAGCAGAAGGAAGCATGAGTACTGGGTATGGGCGTCTGTGTCAGTCACTCAGTTGGTTTCAGCTCTGGATATGGGCCTCCTGTACCTCACTGGAATCCTGGAGGCAGCAGAAGGTCCAGTCTCATCACCAAGGACACTGCCTGCCAGGTAGGTGACAGCCACCCGACAGGGAAGAGCACACTTCTCAGAGTATCCCTCTGCATCTTCCCCACAGCGCCCTGATGTGGGGGGAGAGCTCAGTGGCCATGACCTCCAGTCTTGGCCAACACCATTTCCCCACTCATCTCAACCACATTCGAAGCTGTGCTCTGAGAGGTCCGGAAGTTAGAGACAGCAGACCTGCTTCTCAGAGTTCCAATGTTATAAATAGTGGGGAACGTTCCAGGTTTACCCACAATGCCTATTGAGCAGGTCATGTGGTAGAAATAGTATTCATTTGCCATCTCTAAAGTGGAATGGACTGGCTTTCAATGGATTAGACATTGCACTAATGAGATGCAGAGAGGAGCCTAGATAGAAAGGAGGAAAACAAAACAAAACAAAACAAAGAAACAGATGGCAGGAAAGAACAACTCCTCTTCTCCTCAGCTTTAGTTCTCTGGGAAATGTGCTCAGCTGTTCTCTCCACAACAAGCAACTCGACTGATCCCTGAGCTTTTCCAGGAGCCCAGTCCAAAGAATGGGGAGGAAGAGAAGCGAGGGGAGGGGACGTTCTATAGACCGCAGTGAGCTCGGGCTGGGCAATGCTGACTGGCATGTGAACTCTGCCTTCCCAACGTGAGAATGCAAGGGGATCCCCCAAAGTTGTCCAAGTCCAAATTCCCAGTCCCTTTCTTTTAATGTGATCCGATTTCGAAACAGGGTCAAGTTCAGGGTGAGCTCTAATTCGATATGACCATGTCTTCGTGAGAAGGGGAATTTGGACACACCGATAGGCACACAGGGAAATATCAAGTAAAAATGAAGGCAGAGATTGAAGAGATGCTTCCATACACCAAAAACGGTCTACCACCAACACTCCCCTGTCCCAGAAGTGAAGAACAAGGACTGGAAGAGTCTCCCTCGCAGCCCTCCGAAGGAGAGACCCGCTGATCACGCTCTGGGACACCCGGCCCCAGACTGTAGGCCAGAGCTTCCGTTTTGGTGTGAGCGTTCATTACGCAGACTTAGCACATGCGCACCTGGGTGCTGGGACCTCTCACTCCCCTCCTGGGTCCAGCAGGTGCTTCTCTGTCTCTCAAGTGCTGCTTCCTTGTTTATGTCCCTCCACCCACTCATTTTTTTTTTAGGTTTTTGCCACCAGGGACATTTGTTTGCCCAAGAGAAAGAGAGAAAGGGAAAGTAAGAAAGAAATCATCTCCCAGGGGGATGCCCATGCCTCAATTCTTTCTCCTTCCATGCGCCTCTTGGGAATTTGGGCGTGCACACATAGGCCTGCGTGATTTTCGAGCCACTGGGTCCAGGACTTGAACCGTGGTTAGCCATGATGAAATCCAGCTCCTTAACCTCCACATCACCCGCTGGCCCCTCTACTCACTGTGTTTTTTTGGTTTTTGGTTTTTTTTTTTTTTTTTGAGAGGATTCTTTGTAATAGGGCATGTGCACTCACCAGAAAGACAGAGAGAGACAGAGAGATAGAAAGCGAGAAATCAACCCCCAGGGGGGATGGCCACGCCACAATCCCTTCTCCTCTTGGGATCTTTAGAATGCACGCACACGTGCCCAGAATGAGTTTAAGTCACCAGGCCCAGGACTCAAACTGCAGTCGACTACATGGGAGTTCAGCGACATAGCCATTACGCTAACTGCTGGTCCCTCCACTCTTTGCCCCTGCCTGATGTTACTTCTCAAGCCCTGTAACCTTCAGCCACCATCTTATATACATTTGGCACTCTAGCTATGCAGTTTCCAGAGGTGTTCCAGGAGTACTCACTCACAGTCAGGTCAGGGATAAGGAGCAGCTGAGGGCCTTCCACCCTGACAAGGATCACTCGCCACCATGACCAAGAGAATGAGAAGCTAGTCTCTGCTAACCTGGGCGCCTGTGTCTCCATGTTTGTGCAGGTGGTGTTGCCACACAGATAGGGGGCTGTCAGAAACTACCCGAGAGATGAAAAAGAAGGAATGACTGTGCTTCAGGAGGGGTTGTCATCTCTCACTTTTTGGTGATGCGACAAGTTCAAACAGAAGTGCGTTCTATGTGGCAGTGTCTTAAACATAACTCTCTGCTTCCGTAACACGCCTCTTGCCTTTCCTCTCCTGTCCATCTTGCTACACAATCTGCCTGGAGGGCACTGGGAATGGCAGAAACCAAAAAATGCTAGACCCTCAAGTGTTAAAAATAAACTGAGGAAACCCCACTTCCACCATTACATTTGAAGCACAACATGTTCTTATTAAAAGCTGGAACAATTTAATGTAGAAATTTAATAAATAATTGCTCAATCAATTACTTAGTGGGTTACTCCATGAGACTGATATGTAGTAAATACATTATTAAAAACAAAACAAAACAAAACAAAAACACAATAAAAGAGCCAGGAGGTGGCATAGTGGTTAAGGTGCTGGATCCCACATGGCCTACTCTGCAGTTCAAGTCCCAGATCTGGCTGTTTGAAAAATAGGCTAGACGCATGTGCATGCATGCCCAAAATCCCAAGAGGAGAATGGAGGAAAAGGAACTGTGGCATGGCCATCCCCCCAGGATGATTTCTCACTTTCCCTCCGTCTCTCTCTCTCCAGCACATGATCCACTATGGCAAAAACCTAAAACAAGAAAACGCAAAACAGGGACAGCCCACGGCACAGCAGAACAGGATTGCACATGGAGCCACGCCCCGCATGGCTGACTGGCTTGCATCCTGGGCCTGACAGTTTGAAAACACATCAAATGTGTGTGCATTTGTGCCCTCAAATCCTCATGGGACACAGAAGGGAAGAAGGGGTTGTGGCATGATCATGCCCCACTGAGGGGCACTCTCTCTCTGTCTCTCTCTCGGGTTTGTGTACTTGCCCTTTGGCAATTGAAAAACAAACAAGCAAGCAAAAAAAAAACTTTAAGCCTCTGATGAAGCCTGAATTAGTAGAGACATTTGAAAATGTTGATGAATGCCAACAGCTCAGATGGAAAAGAAAAATCAAATGAAACGAATTACACATACACAGCAAAAGAAAACACTGGGGCGAGTGGTGCAGTAACCTAGCTGGACCCACGTGGGAAATGTTCTGGGGCTCGTGTCCTGGATGTCCGGGATGTCAGGCACGAACGCCTGAGCTGGGCTGGCTGCGCTGGATCATGGTACGAAGACCCCGTTGGGGATTCTCATCTCTCTGTCTTTCTGCCATGGAAGAAATAAAATTTCCGGTTTTTTTTTTTTTTTTTTTTTGAGAATTATTTTATTGGGGCCAGCAGGTGGTATAGTAGTTACAGGCGCTGGACTCCCACACGGCCAACCAAGGTTCAAGTCTTGGACCCGGTGGCTTGCTTTCTCACTTTCCTTCTCTCTGTCTGTCTCTCACTCTGTCCCTCTCTAGTTAAATTAAGTTTAAATGAATAAAGTTAAAATTTAAAAAGAATTCTTTAAAAAAAGAATTACTTTAACTTTATTTATTCATTTAAATTTGAACAGAGAGGGATAGAGCGAGAGTAAAAAAGCCAGAGTGTGACCAAGAGTGAGAAAGAGAGAGAGAGGGAAAGTGAGGAAGTAGGCCTCCAGGTCTGGGACTCGAACCACAGTCAGCCATGTGGGAGTTCCACACCCTTACCCACCACACCACCTGCCGGGCCAGAAATAAATTTTTTTGTTTTTTGGAGAGATTTTCACTGTAGGGCGCGTGCGCTCGCCAGACAGACAGAGACATAGAGACAGAAAGGGAGAAATCACCCCCCAGGGGGGATGGTCACACCGCAATCCCTTCTCCTCCATTCTCCTCTCGGGATCTTGGGCACGCACGCACACGTGCCCGGCGTGAGTTTTAAGCCACCGGGTCCGGGACACGAACCGCGGTCGACTACGTGGGAGTCCAGCAACATAGCCATTACGCTAACTGCTGGTTCCCCCAGAAATAAAATTATTATAAAACCTTAAAATACATAAATCACAAAGTAATATTTTAAATTATTCCTAGACATACCAGGCACAGTTCTAAGCAGAGAATATTACCAACTGCCTGCCCCCAGGAAACCTCCATTCCAGCAAGACAGTATGTATGAAGTTAAACTAATGAAACATCCTGAGAAACTCTGGGATGTCTGCCATGCTCAATAAATCACTCATGGGGCCAGCAGTTAGTGTAATGGCTATGTCACTGAACTCCCACGTAGCTGACCACGGTTCCAGTCCCGGACCCGGTGGCTTAAACTCACGCCGGGCGCGTGTGCATGCGTGCCCAAGATCCCGAGAGGAGAATGGAGGAGAAGAGATTGTGGCATGGCCATCTACCCTGGGGGGTGATTTCTTGCTTTCTGTCTCTCTGTCTCTTTCTGGCAAGCGCATGAACCCTACAGCGAAAACCTCTCCAAAAATAAAATCAAATAAAATGAAATAAATCACTCGTCAACCATAACATGGCTAAGAGCGACTAAAGTGCTGGTTTCTGGGGCAATCTCAGGAAGGCCTATGTGTTTAGGCGAAGCAGAGAAAATCGGCTCTATCCCTAAGTGAGTGTAGCTTCTCTAGTGACCACTGGACCCGATTAAAATGTGTTTTTCAGAGTGATTTTCTCCAAATGAATCATAAAAGCTTTCATGAATCTAAACAAATATCACCAATAGCTGAAGGAAAAATGTTACCACTTGGACTTCCATAAAATAAATTTCTGAGAAAATACCTCAGTACCTGAAACAATTGCACATGCCCCTCAGAGACAGCCTGGCGCTTCCCTCTCCTGGCTGCTTCTGTTCAAGAATAAAGCACATTTTGCAGGCCAGAAGGGCACCCAATTCATTCACAACTGGGGAGTTCCGGAAAGTACTTCCCTGCTGGAAACAAAATGCACACCCAGAATCTATAATCATCCAGTAACAAGGATTGAGAAAAGAGCCTAAAAATAAATAATAAAATGGTTGTGGGGACTATCTCTACAAGGTAGGGGTTCAGGAGAAAACTATTTTATTCTTTGTATTTTTTTTTCCTGCAATGGAAACAATCAAAAAAAAGGGGAAAGCTTAAAAATATCTGTAGCCAGTATCTCTAGATCTTTGTTTTATGATCTAAGAATTTTCACAGTAAAATAAAATGCCACTCCAGTTTTTAAATGCTGACTCTGTGACACTGAAAGTATCTTAAGGAAAAATTATTTAATGCCTCAAAAGACACAAGTGGAAGCCAGCCCCATAACTTAATGGTTGAAGGAGCTGGATCCCACATGGCTGACCATAATTAGAGCCCTAGTCCCCCATGGCTTGAAACGCATGCCAGGCATGTGTGCTTGTGTGGCCGGGATCCTGATGGGATGGAAAAATGGTGAAGAGGGGGGAGGAGAGGAGGTGGCTTTCTTTTTTTTAATTATTTATTTAATTTCATTTTACTCATTCATTCATTCATTCATTTCAATTTGACTAGAGAGAAACAGAGAGAAAGTGAGAAAGCAAGCCACCAGGTCCAGGACTCAAACTGTAGTCGGCCAGGTGGGTTTGTCCAGTGCCTTAACCACCATGCCACCTGCTGGTCCCTTTTTTTTTTTTTTTTTTTTTTGGGGTGCTTCCTTTTTTTTTTTTTTTTTTTTTTTGAGGTGACTTTCTTGCACTCTATTTCCTTTTCTTTCTCTCTGGAGAGCATAGGCACCCTCTGGCAATGAAAAAAAAAAAAAGAAATTCTCTACTTTTTAATTTATATTTTGCCTAAGTAATAAGGAGGAATTTTAATACTTCTTTCCTGTTTTCTTTTTTCCTCCACAAATGATTGGTAGAAACATTATTTCAGGGCCAGCCAGTGATGTGGAGGTTGGGGTGGCTGGATCCCCTGTGGCCAACTGTGTGGTTTGAGTCCTGGACTTGGCAGCTTGGAAAACACACTAGGCACATGTGTGTGCATCCCCCAAATCCCAAAAGGAGAGACAGAGCAGAAGGGATTACAGCATGACTATCTCCCATGAGGGATGCTTTCTCACTTTTCATCTCTGTGTCTCTGTCTCTGTCTCTCTCCACCAAGTATACATACCCTCTGGCAAATTAAAAGGGAAAAAGGAAATATTTCAATTATTATTACTGTAAGGAGCAATTAGCCCTACCTTATTAAAATGTTATAAATTCTACAAATAGAAATACACTTAGCACTTTATTCTCCAATATGGTTCTTCAAATTGCCTCCAGGTTTGAATTACTTCCCTCTTTGAAAGGATCCATAGAAGTTCAGAGAGGTCAAAATGTACAAACTCTTCTGAAATAAGCTATTTCAGCAGAATACACAGGTGTGAGTCGTCCGCCATCCCTACCGTGCAAGCAGATCAGCACGGAATCTGATGAGCCAGGGAGAGGAGACGGCAATAGGGAGAAAAGGGAACAGTGTGGTGTTTTGGTTATTAAACCCGTATTATACACCATTCATTGCAGGATTAAAGCATGTCCTCACAATGAATAAACAACTAAACCCAGAGCCAGCTAACTCTTTTAGGATAGGCTTTTTCTTCCTTCTGATCTGAATGCCATCTCCCCGTCATTGAGAGGTAGGTTACAAAGCCAGAGGACAATTTATCACATCTATGAATCCCTCTACCTGCAAGGCCAAGTTTCATCAGCCTGCCCCTCCCCCAAAACGACCTGAAATATATGGCTATGTTCTTAGGGTGAGGTCAGTGTGCAGGGTCACAAACACTCGCAGGAAGATTTGTACAGCGAAAACAAAGCTGCAAGATCTCCGGCATCCACAATAGAGTCATTCACAGTCAACAGAGAAGTGTGAGCCACTGTCACCCTTAGGCTGAGACAATGGGACCTTTGGGGGCTCAGGAGGAGGGAGATCTAGGACCATGATAAAAAGCCAAGAAAAGGGACAATGTGAGGTGAGTCACCAGCTCAGAAAATACCTGCCACCCTTCGAGCACCTTTCCTCACTGGTCAGTTGCTTGTCTCCCCAGCCAGTTAGGGGTACACTGCATCCTTCACTTTGAAGGCTCCTTCCGCCAATACCTGTCTCAATCGTCTCTGGCTGATCCTTGAAGATGGGTAAGATCCCCCAATACTAAGGTACCCCAACAGAATAATTCTTTGAGCCAGGCCCACAATGGGTATGAAAGCCTTCAACTACCTGGTATTTCCTTTAATCAGGTATACTGCTTTGGGCTCATTTTACAAAGCCATCTGGCTTTGCAGACATCAATGCCCGGACTATGAAAAACCCCACTTTTTATTGTGGCCCCACAATGGGGAGCAATCCACTTCAAAGTCTCTGAAGCTCCAGGGTTCTGGTGCTGAAATAGCTCGCTCAGATTCTTCATTGTTCAGGCTTCCAAGGAGCCTGCCCATCCTGGAGATAAAAGGATTCTTCTGAAAGCACTATGTAAAAGAAAATATTTGTTCAGTCACAGTGTCCCTCCAAATGGGATCGTATGCTCCATGGCTGGATGCTGAGAAGATGAAAATGAAGGGGTCTTAACAGATATGGCGGAGACCCGGTCAGATAAATCAGACGTGCATGCGCCACCCTAAATTAGAGAATGCTCAGGTGCCCTCCTTCCTGTGAATGTTCTACTCATTCTTGCAAAATGTCCCACACCTCAGGATGAATGGCATTAAGTAGAAATACTTTGATTTTCTTTCACTACTGAATACAACTGCAATTATATTTAAAATATCTTTACTTTCTATCGCTTTGACAGGTTCACTTTTGAAGCTTCCTATTCATACATTTCAATAGTCCTATCCCTTTCTAAGAGACAGCAAGTTGGCTTTCAACAAAAGCAAAACTAAGAGAAGGGACCTATGATTTTTATTTTTCTGAGGGGGAGGGGGACAAGTAGTTATTTCACTCATTAGAATTTGAATGTTAACAGAAATGACCGCAGAAGAATGGAGAGGAGATCGACATTTAAACATTAGATGTATACCACTATCTTGGGGATTAATTACTAGGGGCCCAATTTAATGTGTCATTTTAAAAGGGAGCCCTTGGACATGACTTCACCTGGAAGTTA